TACGGTGATTAACCCGAATGGTATGCTTATGAAACTCTTCATGAAATTTATCTCTTAGAGATTACTAAAATATTTTGAAGAGATCGCGCAGTATGAATCACGTAAAACATAACTAGTCAAGGTCAAGAGGCTTTTAGCAAACATCACATACTCACATGTTAATTCACTTTGATGACTGAAAGCATTTGAAAATGTCGCAGCGGACACCAACTTGTCAAAATTCGTTTGCGAAGGTGTGCAACTGTGCTAAGTAGAAATCTTTCCGTCTGTTATGGCAACTACACTACGCAAGCGCAGTTTTTTTTTTTAGGATAAAAAGAGGTTTATCACTGCATTGCAGTTGACAATTGAGTCATTATGATTTGAATGAAAAGGAAATGCGCAGATAAGAGGTAGAGAGAAACCGATGAAGGCATTGAAAAATAGATAAAAGCGTGGGTAGGGCAATGGTTAGAGATGCCCTACGGTACAAATGGGTCCGTTCTCACGCCATGGCCTCATGAAGCCTTCCAACATTCCACGCTCAGCAACTTGGTACATGACCTGGCCTGGGAGAATAGCAGCACTGCCTCCACATATCGGTCGGATACCGCTAGAGCCATTATGTAGGCCAGATATGGATTAAACCACCTCTAACGATGCTTGCTGAAATCGGATGCATGGGACTCCCCAGGAGATTGATCAGCGCTGAATGCTCCATCTTTTTATGTTTTTAATATGTTAAAAATATATAAGGTGTAAGTTTTCTATAAAGCTTAGTTTTCCCGAAAAGGTATTTTTTCTAGTAGTAGAAGTGAGTGGAAGAAAACGCATCAGTAGAAGTGACCACTGATCTATCTCAAATGAGGGATCTCGAGCCGGTTAGTCGCAAGGCTACGTAGGGCTTCCCCAGGTGGCGGATACGGAGTTAATCACGGACAAAAAGCAACCTTTGCTTCCCTGAGACGCACGTGGATCGAAGGAATGGACTCCCTGTTTCTATGGTGCCGATTTGGCACATACTTACTATTTGTACGAGGCGTATTCATGTGTGCGTGCGTGGATGTGTTCTCGTTGACGTGGATTGTATTCTGTGAGTCAGTTCGGCCAAAACCCCGCAATCAAGTGAAGGGGAAGAATATAGGAGGCTGTTAAGAATCGCCTACAAAAAATAAGCTCCATGTCCACTCAGGGAGAGCCTGGCAAGCTACTCGTTAGTATACCCAGCTCTCATGTTAAGACTTCAGCAAGCTATACATGAGTATTAAAAAGCAAAACACAGCAAAAGAAACGGGCGTCATTCAACTAACTCCGAAAGGGCCCCTATTCGGCAGCGTTGGGTAGGGCGAGTACGGAGAGGCTGCTAAAATCTCAGCGCCACTCTACGCTCTGTAAACCGCAAGGTACTTAGGTGATCATCCGTACCCACAATGCACGCACACTTGAATCTGACTCCTTCATAAAAGAGTCGATTATGCAAGCAAGATGGATAAGGTACGACATCATCGGACTGGTCGAGACGAGACAATGCCACTCATTTAACGCCGTCTATGACACCGAAGAGGAACTGTTCCTCGGAATATGCGACAGTAGAAGAGGAGGCAGCGTCGGCGCTCTCTTCAACACGAATTTGTCCATGAACATCGATTCATTCGAACAACTAACAATCCGAATCGGATCTCTAAGATTAAAAAGATATGGATCAATACTGGACTTGGAAATCTTCGCCGTTTACGCGGCTACATCAAACTATGATCAATAAGAAGTTGAAGCGTTCTATATGGACTTGCAGAGATTCTACAATGAAGACCATATATTCTTCAAAGTCATTATTGGAGATTTCAACGCCATGACTGGAGCAAGGAGAACATCTGAAGAACGTCACATTGGGACTCACGAATTAGAAAGGAAAGAACAGGGTGAGCGGCTCTCCGATTTCATCATGAGGACAAAGCACATCCATGGTGCCAAGTAATTCCAGAAACCTCATGCTCAACGCTGGACATGAGAATTTTCCAATAGAGAGCACCATAACGAAATAAACCACATCACAGTAAACTAAAGGTTTTGCCTAACCGATGTCGCTGTTGTCCCAAAATTCTACACGGGATCAGACTACCGCCTCCTTCGTGCAAGATTCTACTTCGCGCGGGAAGGAGAAAAAGCCGCTAAATTCAAAAAACAAAGTCTCAAAAAAACTATAAACTGGGATTTATTCAATTCACTAGTCGGCTGTCAGGAGGATGACGTTCTCGATAACATCGATGGGGTATACAATCGGCTCTTTCAACATTTTCACGTCAACGCTATGAAAACTGTGAGTTCAAAAGTTACCAAGAGACGTCTATCTCCAAAAACACCAGAGCTAATAAACTATCGCGGAATCGCGCGAGCTGGAGGCAACCGAAAGCTCACATGCGACTTAAAGGAAGAAGAGCAGAACAGCAGTTATGGCCGAAGCTGCACAGACCGGAAAAAGCATTTGCAAAGCCCGCTAAAACTTCATGAGTTACAAAACTAAGACGGTTACACTTCGTTGCCCAAAAGGAACAGTCACAGTTTCCAGACAGGCAATGGGGAAAATCACTCACAATTACTCCTCAGATTTCTTCAATAGTCACGTCCTTCTACACTCATATGAATAAAGGAGGATGGATACGTCGTACCACCGATTCTCCCTTCCGAAATCCGATATGCTATTTCGACGGTGAAAAATCGAATAACACCAGGTCTGGACAGGATAAGATCCTAACAACTGAAGAACCTTCCGCCCATCCTCATCAAAACACTGGCTCAGCTCTTTACACGTTTCCTGCCTGAATACAAGGTCCCCACTCAATGGAAGACCAGCAAGACCGTGCTATTGTTCAAGAAGAATGACCTCTACGGTATCGGCAACTATGCCCCAACCTGCTTGCTGTCTGTCGTCTACAAGCTTTTCACTTGAGTTATCCTAAACAGCTTTGACGGAACTCTGGACAAAGGACAACCATGTGAGCAAGCAGGGTTGATTATGATTCGCGCCTCGGACTAACTCTTCAACTTTAGACAGCAGGGGTTGTAAAAGTGTTTGGCTGAATAGAATGCGTATCAGTGTGATCATTCCTCTGCCCTGAAAAGTGAGAAATCCGCTAGAACGTTAGCCAGGGTAAAACAAATATCGTATTAACAACGTTGCACATGCTCATCAATAAAACAGTACACTACTAGTTACACCGTCGAGGTTAAATGGAAGAAGTCGGTCCTGGGACTTTTGGCATGGGTGAAAATTCAGTCTAAGTGTTCATTGAAAAATGTATGTCGTTTTCAATTCCATATGACAGACAAGTAGACAAACACACATAGACAGCGTATACACGTGCATACACACCATACGAATAACAGCTTCAGTAATGAAAGTAGCATAAGCCATTATATAACAGGTGAAAGCATTCTACAACGGGTATAAGAAAAGCATAATTGAACTCGCCTCTGTACGACTGAAAATATTCTCTGCACTTCATTATTCGTATATCTCTCATCAAACTGCACTTTTGCACCTTTTCAGTTTATTTATTTCCTCCTCCCAGTGATTTATCGCCTCATCGTGGCTGGGAGGTGTTCCTGGGTGTCGGGTTGCGATGTACATCGGGAACATTCATTCCCCTGGCAGAGCCTCCCAGGCTTAGAAAGAGCCCGGCGTTTTAGGCAGGAAGCCCAGCTAAAAGTAAACCAATACCAGGATACACCACTGTCCTGGTATCAAGGTAGTCGCACGGTGGAAGATCTCCCTCTAATCCACAAGGTCTGGTACTGCCTGCCGTTGTGAAAACCTGCGGCAGATTTTGGCTAGGCTGACCTCAGGATTTCAGGGATCCACAATGGCTAAACCATCCAAGTAAGTGAGTATTTTTCGCTCATTTTCACCTCTATCAGAAACTCAAACGTTCCTCAATGGACTGAGCATAGGAAAGGCAGCACAACATTCAGGATAACGTCAATGAAATGGTGTTTACATGAATGCATGCTCCACATGAGCCGCTGTGTTTTCTGGGTACTGCTTCAGTAACAAAATAAAGTTGGTTATTCACTTACAAAAGTGAATTATCTGCACATAACTGTACAACAACTGTTACAACAGATTCGGATCATCAACTCTGACGAAGACGAAAACGTCCAAACATTAACTCAATAAAGCCTATTTGTCAACCATGTGTAAAACTAAATAAAAAGCATAAAGTTCACGGCGTTGATCAAACCCTGAGGGATGCGCCATGCATTCGATTTCATTATGTATCATTAGAGGTGATTGAATGCATATCTGGCCTTTACAATGACTCGCGGTGGCCTACCGATGTATCGAGCCAGTGCTGCTATCCTCCCAGACAAGTCTGGTACCAATTTTCCGACTCTGGAGGGATAGAGAGCTTGGTGGGCCATGGGCGCGGGGATCGATTCCACGCGTGTGTCGCAGTGGCGCCTCCAACCACTGTGCCATACGCGCCCTTTCAACCCTGTATAGGCTCAACAATTTAAACACATGTTCATTTGTCATACCATTATTAAAGGAAAGTCGGTTTTTGAAATATAACAACAGTCCTTAAGAGTTAAGAGAAGGAAATGTCTTCGTAAACATTAGTGAAAGTTATCGCGCTGCAATGACATTTTGGATTCCTGTATTAAAGTTTTACTAGGCTTCCCAGAGGAGCTATTCGATTGTTCATAACACTCTAAATTCATTAGTGTTTCGTAACGTTTTAAGTTAGATTTATTCTTTTCGGTATGATAGTGCTGCTCACCTTCTACATGTGATATGCTTCGATTAGTTACGACGACACCTCTCTGGTCTGCTTTGTTCCGTCCGAAACTCCATTTTTACGATATCTGTACTACAAGATTTTCAACTTTTACTGCTGGATGTAGTGTGCCTACCGTCTATGCCTTCAATGATCCGCTTCTTTTGGGTGAGTTTGTTTGCGTCCCTATATTTTTAAGTATGTCATTTTTACCAGTTGAATTTATATTAAGCCCGAGGACTACGTCAAAACGGTAGGCCGAGACCGACAAAGGACCAAGCTAACGAGGCCAACAAGGCGAAAAGGTCTAGCAAATACGGAAATGCTGACAAAATGCATCCGTCTTATCGACCTGGTATAACTGATCACTCGTTTCTTTTGTGTTTTCTTGTTCTGCTCCTCTTGAATGGCATTGGCTTTGTAGATGGAAAACATGGCAACGAAGGAGAGACTGATAAGGACAGTAATGGCGATCCAAAAAGTGAACTTGTGGCCAAACTGAGGCGTTTTTTCGCTATTTCCCTGTTTGCTTACGGCATCCTTTATTTGGTAAGGTAGGTTGCCGTAGGGCTTTACTTCTCCCGTTCAAGTGCTACTTATGTGTTTTGTTTTCTAAACGTTGTTTTAATGGTCGCAATAATTGTGACATCGACTGCAGCCTCAACTTAACTAGGTTCAATACCGATTTGGGTTCCCCAGGTCAATCCTGTTGACGGGTGACTGCTGATGGCACTGGTAGATAGAAAACTAGCTGAGAGACAGGCGAAACGAAGGACTTGCACGGTGTGGTGGTGAACCTGTTAGCCCCTGGAAAGGGTAATGTCGTGTTCGATCCCCACCGTAGACACCTGCAGTCCGATGTTTTGCAAATATCTCAGCATCATTATGGTTAATGTAATATTTGCATTTAGCCCGAAGTCGAATGGATCTGTTGGTTTTCAGCACATAACTTGGAGTGAATTCGTTAACAATCTGTTGCCAACAGGACAGGTATAAGCGGTATTTGATTCCGTGACTTCAAAGTTCGTCTTTTTTTTCAGATTCATAAAATTGTCGTGTTTCCTGAGAAAGATGTTGCATACGTTTACACCTTTGTAGGGTCAAAAATGCCGTCAGGTGAACCAGTAAGTATCTTTTGTGTTTCATCCTTTCTGCCTTGAATTTTCTTATGAACCGAAGTGAATTTTTCCGTCTCAGTTGGCATCTATATACCGTTTGGGCATCCCAAGTGTTCCGCGCTTCGAATCTGCTGTGAGAGCCGCAGAAACTTCTGTGGGATTACCACCAGAACACTGGACACCAATCCAGTATCGACGAATGGAAGCACTGTAGGTGATTTGTTAGTATTGGTTAGTACTCCACGAGCTAATTCATTTGCTTCGCTGTGAGCAAATTACTCATTGTGGAACTAACCAATTTGCATTTGACTGGCATCAAACTTCGCTTCGCCGCTTTATAATTGAACACAATGGCGCATGTGGTGTGGTGGTCCAAGGCGCCCTGCAATATACACATGGGATCGATCCCCGCGCCCCAGGTTCGCCAAGCCTTCTATCCCTCGGGGTTGGCAAACTGGTATCAGACTTGTCTGAGAGGATTGCAGCACTGGCTCGATACATCGGTAGGCCACCGCGAGTCATTCTAAAGGCACATATGCATTCAGTCATCTCCAGCGATCCTTGGTGAAGATGAATACATGGCACATCCGTCAGGAATTGATCAATGTCGACAGCTTTATGCTTTTATGCTTAATCACGTTTTCCACAGAATAATTTCAAAGTTGTGGAAAATCATGCGCTTTTATTTTTAGAAGCCAATGGTTAACCTTTATTCTTGTGACTGGTCTTGCAATTGGTGCTTACTTGCTGTTCAAGAAATTCAAAGGGTCATTCAATTTTTCGGACATAATGGTAACTTTTCCGAGGTTACTACGTAGAGTTAGTCCTCGATGTAGTTTCTATTTAGTCTAATATAACAAAAGGCAAATACACGGTAATTGACCCTCACAGTCCAGAAGGGAAGAAACAGCTGAAGATCAGGTTTAAGGTGGTTCCTCTTTTTCTTTATGATTTTTTAATTTCTTCCGTGTATTTTCTTCTTTATAAACTTTTAAATCTATTAACCTAGGTTTATAATTAGAAAGTCAGCTACTCTTTATTAGTAATTTGTAAATCACTTTAAGCATATTTGTTGCAGGACGTTGCAGGTTGTTTTGAAGCAAAACAGGAGATCAGTGAATTTGTCGACTACCTCAAAAATCCGAACAAGTATACTGTATGTTTTTTTAAACCCTGTTTGTCTTCTTTCATCAACTTTTTTTTAGAAACTGGGCGCCAAATTACCACGCGGTGCACTGTTGACCGGTCCTCCTGGCTGTGGAAAGACGCTTATTGCGAAAGCACTTGCTGCAGAATCTACTGCACCGTTTATTTCCATGAATGGAACAGAATTCGTTGAAGTTATAGGTGGTATGTGAACTTCAGTTATTTGCCTCCTTGTTTGTTCATAGCCAAATACTCGTCTCCACTTTTACATAGTCTGCATCTATTTTATGCATGAGTGTGACTGTCGTTACAAGATTTTTCACTTTTTGGCCCGGCCTTTGCGTTCGCTCTCTTTTTCTGTTGCATATGGAACAACACAAAGTAATATATAATTAAGGTGTCACTATCCCCAAATTTTCATTTTAGATATAAATTTTACAGTTTTCCTGCTTTTTCGTAGTTTTTAGTAAGGATATTTTGTTCAAGTCCAAAACAAGAGTTACCCTTTCATGCGAAACTGTTACTTTCTGTTAAGGGCTTGGAGCATCTCGAATTCGTGGATTATTCAAAGAGGCGAGGTCTCGTGCTCCTTGTATTATTTATATTGATGAAATAGATGCTATTGGAAAGAGAAGAGGCGATTCAAAGGGAAGCGGTTTAGGCGGTATGCTTTTTTAGATCGTTTCTCAGAACATGGGTTTTAATTCCAGAATTTTTATTTCAGTAGAGATAGTTTTATTTGATTTACAGAAATGAAGTTGTTGATTGTTGATGGTTAAGGTGGTTCCAGCGAAGAAGAGCAAACTTTAAATCAACTTTTGGTTGAAATGGATGGAATGGGAAGTGGTCAGGGCATAGTCGTGCTTGGAAGCACGAATCGACCAGATATTCTTGACAAGGTGAAATACAATCAGTGTGGTAGGGATTCCAAATGGAATATATCCCAGCTGATCTTCACTGTGGTTTAGGCACTTTTACGCCCCGGTAGGTTCGATCGTCATATCAGCATCGATTTACCTACCGTCATAGAACGTAAGGAGATGTTCGATTTATACCTTAGGAAAATAAAACTGGATCATCCGTACAACAAATATTCTCAAAGATTGGCTCAAATGACTCCGGGATTCACAGGTGCTCTTTGATATAATTTTAAAGTGTAGTAGAAGAATAACAGATTGTAATTTTATGTGCCGACATATCTAATGTTGTAAACGAGGCTGCAATTCGGGCTGCATCATTAGGAAAACATGTCACCTCAGTAGATGAACTTGAATACGCCTTGGACCGCGTATTGGCTGGTGAGTTATCGTAGAGTGCATTGGAATACCTTCCAGTTCATCTTACTAAGTATTTCTTTCAAAGACATAAGAACCTTTTAATGGGGATGTAGCCTCTTATTTTAAACACGTTTTGCGGTTTTTTTTATGTATCGGACTATTTGTATCAGTTGTTAGGGAAAACCTTTCTTTCTTAACTTCTTAAAAACTGCCTTTATATCATCCACAGCCGATGATACGAGTCGATGGTCTACAGTTGGACCTGTCTGTGGAGCATCGACTTGGATCATCGGCTCTGATGACGACGATGATGTCGAAACGTTAGTTGCCTATAATTCATTCTTAACATGAATTTTGTATTTTGTTTTGCCGTTAAGCTCACATTAGGTTTGTAACCTATTGCGAGACTACCAGTAGGAAAGTATGCAGTTTTTAGCCTGTTCTAACAGTTTTTTTTTTCAATCACATCAATGCTGAGATTATTCGCAAAACTTGGACCCCGGCCCAGATCGAACCACGATGGAGGCCCTTGCTCTGCGTTTCTGTCAGCTAGTTTCTACCTAGCAGTGCCATCAAGGAGAAGGGGGGCACAAATCGGCATTGAACCCAGTTAGGCTGAGGCTGCAGTCGAAATCACACCGCTTCACCGTGGCTGGGAGGTGTTCCTCGTTGTCGGGCTTTGTTGTACAGTGCGGGGATTCATCCCCTTGGCAAGGTCTTCCAAGCTGAGGAAGAGTCTGGCGTTTCCATCGAGAAGTCTAGCTAAAAGTAAACCAATACGAGGAGCCCCCACCGTCCTGGTGTCATACCTGTCGCATGGTGGCAAATCTCCCTTTGATCCACAAGGTCTGCGGCTGCCTACGGTGATGACGACCTGTGGCAGACATTGGCCAGGTTGTACTCGGGACTCCAGTGAACCACACTGGCTAAACCAGCAAATCTTCGGGAATGGAAATTATGCTGAGGCCCACGCAACGAGTGAAGACGGGCCACTCAAGTATCCAGGATGAGCAGAAAGAGAAATTCTACAGTAAACAAGGACGTATTTTGTTGCTGTTGTGATTAGGTTATGGGTCGTTAGCAGTTGGTAGTTTGTTTTATCTGCCATTCCAAGTATAGACTAATTTCATAACTGAAGCGCCGTCTTTATGTTTTCTAGGTGCAGAGAAACGTTCCCGCACTTTAGTAGAAGAGGAACGTGAAATCGTAGCTTATCATGAAGCAGGACATGCGCTTGTGGGTTGGCTACTTCAACACACGGACGCACTTCTCAAGGTATAAGTCTTTTCTTGTATCATTTTCTTGCTAATTCTTTGAAGGCATGACACTCTCAACATGCGAGCAAGTGTAATACGTAAGGAATTGAACGGTACCTGTAATATTGTGGGGTTGGGGTTGGGAAATTCAAAGAGCTCTTTTTAGAAAGCCGAATTTTTAAAATGAATTCCTATTCAATCTCTTTGGTCAGCTTATTTCCAAAAAAAATTTGCAGACAAGAACGAAAAATCACTCTTGAGAAATCGTAATAACTCGTAGTTAAATAAGGCAAAGTTTCTGCTATAAGTCGATAACGTCTTCAACGCTTCAAGTACTCTTATGCCGGAAAACTATCAGTAGTAGGATAAAGGATAAAGCTTTCGGCGTTGATCAATTCCTGAGGGATGCATTCGACTTCATTATGTATCGTTGGAGGTGATTGAATGCATATCTGGCCTTTACAATGACTCTTTGTGGCCTACCGATCTATTGAATCAGTGCTGCTGTCCTCCTAGACAAGTCTGATACCAATCTGCCGACCCTGGAGTAATGGAAGGTTTGGTTAGCCCAGGACGCAGGGGATCGATCCCATGTATATATTGCAGAACGCCTCTGACCACTGCGATAAACCCGCTTCTAACTACCAGTGGTTATCGAAACTCCAGCTACGGACTTCCATTACCGAATGGCTTATCTGCGTTATTTCTTTTTCTTACAAATCATTATGAGTGCCATTCTTTTCCTGTTAAGTTGCGACAGTCTAGATCTTCCTCATGCGAAGTTAGTTTCACAGCTATATGTCGTGCGTCAACGTGGAGCGAAAACTGTTTAACACATTGGTAACGGCGTTTAGTTTTCATAGGCTGCAGCATGGTTTTTTTTTTTGGTGAATGCTGTAACGTAGTAACTGAGAACTAGATACACTCGTACGACAGGATTTTCTTTGTCGTCATAATTGCTGTAATAATCTTCCCGAAAGGGCGCGTGTGACGAAGTTGCCGGAGGCGCCCTGTGACATACACATGGTATCGATCCCTGCGCCCGTGGCTCACCGAACCTTCCATCCCTCCGGGGTCGGCAAGTTGGGACCAACTTGTCTGCGAGGACAGTAGCACTGGCTCGATATATCGTTAGGCGACCATGAGGCATTGTAAAGGCCAGATATGCATTGGGTCACCTCCAACGAAGCTTAATGAAATCGAATGTATGGTGCATCCCTCAAGGATTGATCAACCCCGAGAGCCTCATCCTTTTTAAATTTGTGACATAATTTTGACAGCCAACAACTTTGGAAATGCATTATGGGACAAGATCGTATCCACATATCCCCGCCCTTTCAATGGCTTTAATAAAACTTTAGTCTCGACCAAAAAAAGGCAGAAAGTGAAAATATACGATTTGTAGGCTGGAAAAATGGTCATTATATAGAGGCATGACTTATATCGTGTAGCAGATTATAGCGGTTTTTACCTTAGCTAACAAAGTCAGCTATGAGATCAGTTATGATTGTTCAACGTTAGAAGGTTCAATTATTTTGCACATACATGAGTCATGTATGACTCTTGTCGTCGCCAAGTCTGTTCGGTTCGTTTTGCACATGTTTTGCATGAATCAGAAGTGCTTCAGGAATGCAGACCTTTACCCTTTTTCTTTTGCAGTCTTATACAAATTTAACCGAATTAATCCATACTTGCCTTGTCTTATGTGTATGAAAATTGTGTCCTGAACAGCATCCGCACAAATTGCGCAGTCAGGTGGCTGTGAAGCACATGAAAAACCGTTTGTGGCTCAATGTTTACTGTGGGGAATTCTGCAAGCGTATCCAGCAATCCGCCGTAGCAGTTCGATCACCTAAGTATGGCCACTACTCTAGTGATATTCAGTGAAGATAAAGGGTCTCATATAAAAACTGTGACAACTAATAATTCTCATGCTAGAAGACGGCGGTGACATGGGCTTCACGGATGTGTCAGTTGATGAGGTATAGAATAATATGGTTGTACAGCAGCACGTTTGAGTAATTCTGACTGAATATATCACCATTTCACCTTGGTCAGGTCATATTTCTTAACACTACGACAGCCATTGGATGGCAGTAAAACAAGTGATTAGTTTTAGGTCACTATAATCCCTCGCACTTCTGCTGCACTTGGCTTCGCTCAGTATAGTCCCAAAGATAAGAAGCTCTTTACGACAGAAGAGGTTCAGTTTCGTTTCTTTCCGCTGAAGCTGATAATAACAACAGTGTTTAGTTATTTGACCGAATGTGTATGATGCTAGGTGGTCGGGCTGCAGAAAACATTAAATTCGGCCGAATTACAACTGGTGCGGAAGACGATCTCAAAAAGGTGATATTGGTTCGATGCTTGAGATTGTACGATATATTTGTTGTCACTTGTACGGTAGAATGAGTCTACTCTTTTCAGGTGACGAAATCGGCATATGCTCAAGTAAAACTCTATGGCATGAGTAATGTAGTGGGGACATTATCCTTTTCAACAGACGATGCCTTCAAAATCAAGCCATACAGTAAGAAATTAGGACATATTATAGATCAGGTGGGGAGCAAGTAGGCAGAGTCTGTTTCTTCTACTTCCAAGAAATTGGCACTTTTATGAGTCACTTATTATCTAAAGAGCTCCAGAGTTTTTGAATTTATAAGTTGTATGTCATCTAGTAGGACGCATATGGCGCAGTGGTCGGAAGCGCTCTGCAACACACACATGGAATCGATCTCTGCGTCCATGGCCAACCAAGCCTTCGATCTCTCCGGGGTCGGCAAGTTGGTACCAGACTTGTCTGAGAGGATAACATCACTAGCTCGATACACCGGTAACACACCGCGAGTCATTGTAAGGGCCCCATTCAATCAAGATATATTATTCAACCATCTCCAAACGATGATCAATGAAGTCGAATACATGGCGCATTTCTATGGGATTAAACAACGCCGAGAGCTTTATCTTTTTTTTATGTCGTCTGGTAAGTTCATTTACCTACAAGTGTGTTACTGAGAAACTTTTATAGCTGCTATCCAGTCACTTAGTCACTTTCACAGTGCTTTGTAGAAATTGTGCGATTGTAATCTTCTGCCTATAGTTTATCGAAGCTCTTATTTAAGGAGGCTTCAAATTTGGTAGGACGAGCATATTGTGCCACGGAGAATCTTCTACGAGAAAACATCAGTAAGCTAGAATTGGTACGTGTTCAGTGCTTCTCTTCCATATTTGATTATGGCAGGACAAACTTTCCGAATAAGTATGTCACGCACACGGATTTCTATTTTGTATAAGCTCTGAGAAGCAATTTTATTGGGAGTAAGAGAGAATACTAAAGTCGTATACTCACTGCAAATTATGTCTGGGCGTAGTTATGCGTGATGAAGCGGGTGACTTTGTTTTTAATCTCCAACTATGGAAAAAATTAAGTTCCCTATATCTAGGCGGTCCGAAGAGATAATGTTAGTTATGCTATGAGAACGAAATAAGATGTCTTCCTCAAACAATCAAATTGGAATTCCTATTTCCCTCCGATCCTCTTCGTGGTTTCATCACACTTTTAATATTTTTTCTAAGATATCTCGTGAGCTTCTGAAAAGAGAGGTGCTCAACTACGATGACATAAAGAATCTTATCGGTAAGCCACCTTATGGCGATAAACAAGTTGTTGAACTGGTGGACACTGTTTTGCCGAAGGAATGAAATGATTTCATCTGCACATATTGTTTTTATTGTAAATATTTATTGATATAAAATGGCTTTGAATAACTGTAATCGTTGCATTGAATTCAATACAAGAAAAGTTCACTATACATGGTTCAATGAATTGAGCTATTGCACTGGCGATATTGTATTATAATGGAAAATATCACTTGAGCACATTCGCCAATACGTCCATTTCACGATGATGGTGGCCCAGAGTGACGCCTAGGTTTCATCCGTGATCCTTTAAATCTAATGGTTACCAGAGAAACACCCCTTCCGAAAAAAGATAGAGGCTTTCCAGTTTTCGTATTTTTCGCTGTGCAATTTCATGGCTTATTTTTTGTGTATTATTTATATTATAAATACTTTGCACTCTTCGCTGTATTGTATGTGGCAAAAAAAATCTCCCACTTCCGTCGTCAACGTCTGCTGTTTGGCTTTAGTATTCAGTTTCGTACTATATGTAGAGTGTATTTCAGTAACTTTCGAAAATAGTGTTTGTGGATCCCTATTCCATGTGATGATAACCGTTTATCCGTTATGCTATTTTATCTTAAAGTAAGCAACAATCAGTTCTTGATCCACAAGTCTGAATAAAGTCAGCAAAAGATGAGTTGACGAAAGTAATGATCATCAGCTCGGCGATGAGAGGTCAAGTTTGGTTACTTTCTCGCTTGATTCTTCAATGGTAGTGTAGAGTGAGTGAACTGCCTTTGAGTTGATGCACAGAAGATGAATCCATGGCGGTTATATGGAATCTGGGTGTAGGAGAGATGGACGGATACTCAGAAATAAAGTGCATTTGTTAGAAAGCTGCGAGCAGTGAGACCCGTGTTCTATTGCTGATTCCGGTCTTAGTGGGTCCAAAGTAATGGTAAGAAACAGTTCGAGAAGCTGCTAGCCATTTCTTCTATATAAACGTACACAGAGGTTTGTCAGAAATTGTATTAAAAATATCTGCACATTCTCTCCAGAATTAAAGCTTACTGTTCGAACCTAGCTTGGCGAACCCAGAACACGCTTAACTCAGTATATAGTCTTGTTAAGCATTGTCATTTTTCTTGATTGGTTTATCGCCAGGAATGTTTACAGGTGAGATTATTTGTTGGTACAAATAGTACAATTACCAAAGTTATTGTAGATTTCCCAAACAAATGCATACATGGGGGGCGTGAACAGTATGCATTGGTGTGTATATGTGAGTTAGGCTGTGTGAGGACTAATAGATGTACTTGGCTGAGCCGCATCAGATAGACTTGTAACCTCTTTGTATGCATTTACAAAACTTCACATGTGGATGGGTATGCTTCCATGTACCCAGCTTGTACTATTTACGATTACTAGGTTTGTCCCTTGAAGCCAATTTGCTGTGGAACTTGATGTGATCCTCAATACATAAAGTCGACGATTATTTCCGAAAAAGTCGATATGTCAACAAGTGGATCAATGAGCATCTTTAGATATAGATATATTCACTATAGTAACTTTATTACATATTACTTCTAATAGTGATTTATGCCTATACAGATGTGAGTCAAGGATTTGGAGCAATGACAACAACGATACCAGGTCACTGTAAGAAGCTTATGCCCATTATTGTTTGTCTCCCCATGCCACATATGTACGACACTAAGAACTAGATAGTGTACGACTGTACGACACTACGACACTAGATATAAGTAAAAAGCGTTTGCTCCTACAACAATGATGTGTGAAGACGGAGCAGACGTCAGCAGCGATACGATATCTGCCTACCTCCGAGGCAGTTCAAAATGGTGGGTGGCTGGTGAGGCTCACACGCCCACGTTCTTGCCGCTTTGTCTTCCTTCTCTAATAGAATTATGTTACTATACTTCATAAAAGATAAAGCTCTGGGCGTTGATTTATCCCTGAGGGAACCCGTGTCTTCGACTTAATTAAAGATCGTTGGAGGTGATCGAACGCATATCTAGTCTTTACAATGACTCGAAGTGGACTAACGATGTATCAAGCCAGTGTTGCTATCCTTCCAAACAAGTCTGGTGCCAATCTGCCGACACCGGGGGATGGAGGGCTTGGTTGGCTATGGGCGCGGGGATCGATTCCCGTGTGTGTTGCAAGGCGCCTCCAACCACTGCTCTACATGAGCTCCTTCCGTATTTCATGGCAAGGAAAGTCTCTTATAGCTATTGACCTTGTCTAACAGCTAGGGTTTCCATCACAATTCAGTTGTTTTCTTACGTCTGCACACTTGAAAACTCGAGGTCGGCATATTGCTACCAGACGTGTATGAGAGGATAGCAGCACTGACTCGATGCATCAATAGGCCACCGCGAGTCATTGTAAAGGCCAGATACCTCCAACGCATTCATTTACCTTCAACGATCCTTAATGAAGTCAAAGGCACGGGGCATCCCTCAGGGACAGATCAACGCCCAGAGCTTTATCCTTTATGAAGTATGGTAACATAATTCTATTAGAGAAGGAACACAGAGCGGCAAAAACGTGGGGATGTGAGCCTCACCAGCCAGCCCCCATTTTAAACTGCCCCGGAAGTGGGCAGATATCGTATCGCTGCTGACGTCTGCTCCGTCTTCACGATGTTTGAGAGACGCTCCGTAGTTTTTTTTGCCCTATCATCTTCATTCGCCCGAAAACACAGGCTGAGAAAGCAGAAGTCATCCTTATCATTCGCTTGAACCGCGTCTCAGTTTTCAGCTTCCCGTATCACCTTGCCTTGTAAATTTCAATTCTTGGGCCTGCCATAATCATAAGTAGTAGTAGCTGTTTCATGTTACATCTATTACTGTCTTAATAATCTCCGGTGCTTTAAAGCTGATTAAATGCTACATCTACTCCCTGCCATATTGATTAGTTTGTGCCGTTATTGTTGTATTCCATGAGACACTTGTTCATCATATTGCTTCTCCAATCTATTTCAGAGACTATTCTACCTCCCGTACCTTCCAAATAGTTGACAAATTAAAAGTATTCATTCTTAATTTATTCAGAAAATGAAACATGAACAGGACGGCTTCTTGACTGATTGGCGATTTTATGGATTCAAGAGAACAACTGAAAAGCAAGGCGAACAATAAAACGACCAATAACGTCTTGGCTTAGGACTCGCTCAAAGTCGACCGGTATACATGTCTGTGCAGCAATAGATATTAGTTTCGAAGGTTTTCTCGACGCGTGAAACGTGGTAGTTAGAGGTACTATATTCGGTCCTGTTCCTTGGGCTCAGCATGCCTTCTATCCTTCCGCGATCAACGAATTGGTACCCTGTTTGTCTGAAAGGATAGAAGCACTGAGTTGATACATCAGTGGGCTAACGCGAGTCAAGTCATTATATAGGGCGCCTCTAACGATGATTGATGAAGTGGAATACATGGTGCTTCCTTCAGGTATTGGTCAACGTCGATTGTTTTTAATTCCTTATAATTCAGTACATGTTTATTCTGTACTATGACTTACGAGGGCCTACGGTTGTATGAAGTACATACTGTTATCCTCCCGGACAAATTTGGCAACAACTTTTCGACCCCACAAAGAGGGTACGCCTAATCGGCCATGGGCGGGGGTCGCACCAAGAACCACGCGCGTGTTGCGAGCATTTCTAACCACTGCGCTACACTCGCTCCTTGAAATTGTAAGTCATACAATTAATACTAGGCGGAATTATCATCTATGATGATGCGTCGGCACTTCAATCAAAGGGATTGAATTGAATGGTAGGAATAACAGACAACTTGCAAGACGCACTGTGGTGTACAAGGCATGTGTGGGTGGGGATGTGTGAACCAGGTGTGTAGCTCCCAGCACATTGCCTTTTCAGGGGTATACACCATAAATTAATTAAGCTTGTGAATAACCTCTCACCAAGGACCATATTCTTCAAATTTCAAAACACTGAAACAGAATACGCTTTCCGCTGCTGCACGTTCACTTCTGGTTCCAAAATACATAAAGCCGGCTCTGGCTAACTGAAATCACATTAGAAATAATACAGCACAATAGAATAAAGAAAGTGAATGCAAGTAAGTGAACGAGGAAGTAATAAATACTGGTTTAAAACAGCACCTAGAACGTTGAAACCAAAACTAACCGCATCAGAAGGATCTGCTTATTGGCAACTATTTGTGAATTTCAAGTGCTTTACGTTTGCTGCTTTCACCAATGGAGCTGTGTTTGAACTTAGTTACTGTGATTACAAACTATCGGACCGCAGCCACAATTGGTTTTGCATCTGCTTCCTGGTTCGCGTCTTCGTGTGCTTGGTTGTTGGTTGATCACTTCCGAACCCGCTAAGTGAACCGTTTTGAAGCCTCGAAAAACACTAATGGAAAAATAAGTGCGATTTAATCCATGATAAAATGAATATGCTGATGTTTATTGTTCGAAGTGTAATTGGTAACCTACAACACACTTTTTCCGAGAAGGAATTGGAAAGCGTGAAAAGTAGTGAGTCAGTCGGTTTACGAGACAACGTGGCGAGTCCCGTGTGAAGAGTCGAACATAAACCCGAATCGATTATGTACAACTCAGATGGATTCAGAAGTAGCTTTGCCCTTTGTATCTGATGCGTTGAATCAACACATAACCATTTTGATGCATACCCACGTTCGTGCGCATGTGTGCACACGGATTCTCTTATCCTACACATTAATTCGGTTAATAGCCAACGATCAAGTACCCAGGAAGGATCTTAGAAGCGGAGTGAAGTAAACTTCTAAAACCAAGCCACACATTTATTCCGTGGAAGCCAAAAAGCTAATCGTGAGTTTATTTAGTGGGATAATAATGACGCTGACGCAACATCAATAAATTTTCCATTTGCCGCTCTTACGAACAAGAGTTTCGCAGCCGATTCTGCATGCGCAAGGGAACAGCTTAGCAACATGTCTTATTTCTAGGATCTTCGCAAGGAATTCCGACCATTGGCTCGATGGTGTTTTTACTATACGCTTAGCATCTTGTGTGACACAAATAGCTGTAGCCCATCAGTTATCGCTTCGAGACATCCAGTGTCCAGCACACCTGTTTTTCGACTTTTGGTGTGCGAAGCGTGGTCTCCGATCACTATTCATTAACTGGAGACCAAAATTTTAATTCCCTGATAGCGCTGACTGATCTTTCTTCCCTTTTATGTAGCGACCATGTCTTCGATATTCACAGTAAATAAAAAAAAATTTGTAGAGACGGAGGAGTGTTCTTTACTGCTTGTTTCCACGTGGTTGGTTTCGAAGAAAAGCCGTTCTTCATGTACGTCTTGAGTCAAATATATATATAAGTTGGGGCAGAAATATTCAATACGTTGAGCGCGTATGGTGCAACAAAAAAACCTTCTTGAAAGCCGTCTTTTGAGTTGTAATGAGGAACCAACTTCTCCGCGAGCATTGTCACTGGCTAATTTTCGTTCTTTCTAGTTAATACATGCTGTTGTAAGAACGACATCGTCAACGACGTGAAAATGGTGTTACTGCCGAGCATCGCTTTTCACTCTAGCTTAGCACCATTATTGCATAACGTTCTTGAGAGTAGCTGGATGCAAAGCATCTTTCTATAAGCAGTGAGAATAAACGGAAACTGTCATAACACTTGTGTTGCTTCCCTGATCGTTTCCATACACTGTCGACTCAGTCGGTAACTACAAAACGGGCGTAACATTTACATGTACACCTCCCTGTATTAACCCGTCTTGTATGTACTAATCGTCTCACTACGGTTATTTTTCACCGAAATTGAAGAGTGGAATTAAATGATCAAATTGACCTTAGTCAAAGTGTATTTGTTACGATAACGAGCGACGATCTGTGCACTACTGAAAAGAAGGGGATGGATAACGTCGGTGCCAATTTCGGTTGTTTCCTCGAAGTTAATGACGCTTAAAACGAAACGAACGCGATATTCCTGCCATAACTCTCCAAGACATAAGCTTAATCGAGGGTTTTCATGGTGCTGAATCAAAATGATCTTTGTAGGAATATTGTAGATCGATAATTCACTGTTTTTCTTTAATGAGCAAAATGAGGTTGGTTTTATAAAATTTATTAGCATTCAATAGCTGAAGTTTCGGCGGTTTCACGTTTATCTTACCTAGTTAATGCTTGAATGGCCCGTCTTCACTGGTTGTGCGGGCCCCAGCATAATCTCCATTTTTCGGAGATTTCCTAGTTAAACCATTATGGTTCCCTGGAGTCCCGAGGTCAGCCTGGCCAAAGTCTGCCCCAGGTCTTCACCACCACGGGCACTCGCAGCCCTTGTGGATCAGAGGAAGATCTACCACCATGCGATTTTGATACCAGGACGGTGGTGGAGCCTGGTATTGGTTTGCTTTTAGCTAGGCTTCCTGTTGGATTCGCCTTCATCAGAGCCTGGAACTGAAACTGACGCACTGTACAGTTTATGTCATTGCATTATGGTGTCCAATAAGATATTTGCAGAAGGGTTTTTTGTCGCTGAAGAGTTTTTCGAGATTTTCATCGAAAGTATTGAGTTCTGAATCATCAGCCGAAAAAGTCGCTGCGTAGTAGTTCAGGAGATGTGTCTTGATGAGGAAATGTTTTTTGTATTGACATTCCCCATTAAGAAAGCGCAAAAGAATGAGTTTAAGGTTCTTGGCTTGAATTTCATAAAATCAGCCAGATAGGCAACGTAAGACTGAACAAAAAAATTGACAAATAAGGCATTTATCGGGAGGTCACAGTCGACATTGTTAATCGAGCAAAAATCGAACCTAAATACGTTCTATCTGGCTCGCTTTTTAAGCAAACAGGAATTAGGTAAATTTGTTCAGCCAGCGTTTCGATGTCTTCGTCTTTTTCAGCGTCGGATTTATCGGAATACATGATCGTTCTCGCGATGTGTCTATTCGTTGGTGCGTCGATTTGAATCCAGTTGGGGCACCGAGCGAATGAACAATCTCAGTCTACTCGCGTCGAGAAAAGCACTAAATGTCTTCGTTAAAAAGTGTATTTTATGATATCATGAAAATGATGAGAAGGATAGCGCAATGGTTGTGATGCCATTCTTTACGAGCACGGTGATGGTTAAACCTAATACTGAGCTCACATAGTCATCCTGCTAGGGTTGAAAAATGGTACCAGACTTGTCTGGACAAATAGGCCACCCCAAAAGTTGAAATAAAAACACTCTCGCACGGCTACCCTAAGACTCCAAGGAGAATCTTCTCGAACAGCATTAAACGACATTCACAATGAAGACGAGATTCCACAAATTGCAGCCGAACTCGCCGCAAAAAGTTCGAAAACATTCGTGGATAAATGAATGGAAAAAGTTGAATGTAAGGCCAGCTTTCAAATTGACCAGAATGTCATTGGGCGGGATTGCCATTTCAAGGTTTAACAGCATTACTTCTATCGGATACTTCATGTTAAATTGTCGTCAAATGTAGATTGGAGAAATCACTGTCGTCAGGGTTAAGCCTAGCTTTCTATCCACGCTTTGAGAAAGCCACAGAATAGCAATATAGGTCGGGAATCTAGAGAAAACAGCACTACCACTCAACGCATCCAAACGAAAAGGTTCATGGGGGTCAGAATCTAAACGATGCTTACACAACATACCATGGAGGCCGTTCCTAACTCAGTACACAGCAGTACCTTTTCCTCAAACCATATGTTCTCCTCAATTTTCCATCAAACACAATGCCTCTCAAGAAGAAAGAAAGCAAGAAGCTGTTCCTAGGTAGATGAATGACGCAGGCTTGCCACCCATCATCAATCAAGGTAGATAGGTGCGACTATCCTTCGGCGCTTGCTTACGGTGCACAATTCACCTCTCCGCGAATGCGCTGAATAAAGCTGCTTAGAGCAGCCTTCTAAAAAGCATAACTTGTAAGATGAAAACGATGCTGAATGAGGTAGTGATTCTGTGCATTACAGCCCTTTTGTTAAAGTTCATCGTTCATTCTTGAAAATCGGTTGTATCCTTCACAGCTGAAAAAGAAAAAGAAAAACACCAAGAGAAAATGACTATCTCCTTTCTGACTCATGTTTACTTTCTCCACTGCATTCCAAGAAATACTTTAATATGTTTACTATAGAACACTGATTCCGGCTTAAATACATAGACAATCAAGTGTCGGAAATGGAAAGCGGAAAACTGAGGGGTATCAATACAAATAACAAAAATTCACTGACAAACTTTATTCATTGTGACGACAACTAATTGAACCTCGGGTACTGGTTATCTGGCTCCACAAATTCATTTACTTCGCCATTATTTTCTTTTGCACGATCATCGATGTCCATATCGTCTGTGGACGTACTGGTGGTAATAACCGTCTGCTCACTGTCTACGGGAGCGTCAGCTTCATTCATTGTGGACTGATCTAAATCAACAGAATTTCCAACGAAAGTTCATCCACCTGCATACTCGTCTGGAATAGCTTACCTACGGTGTCATTTTGACACATAGCGGTTAGGATCACGGACAGGATCGTAGTCACTGAAGGCACAAAGTGTGAGGATTTAGAATTTACGAATCCATTTTCATTTAGACAAATGTGCTTGTATTGAGCCTATAAATAGCGATGTGTTACAGTTGATAAGAACTCACTGAGAAGAAGAGAGAAAGCGTTCATAATGTCGACAGCGACCGGATAGTAAACCTTCCACTGTGTCCATGTAGGTGCATCCTCACCACTAGTTTTTATATATTTATTCGAGAATCGTGATAATGATAGTCGCTGGTAGCTCACAAATTTCAAACTATTATCACGATTTTTCATCTTTAACAGAAGCGGTTGATCACTGCTTGATAATGTAATCTCATGTGATTGTTGCCATTCGCAACAGATAAGTTGTTATTTCGAAGTCGTTTGTTCTATAAGCGAGTGATGTATTGCTCATCATTACCTTTCTGTTATTGGCAGCACTTTCAATAGTTTAATGACTCAAAAGACCCTCTTTCTATAAACCTTAGGATAGCTAATCACTACATTTATTTGTACGTTCTTATGAACTCATCTTGTTGAGCTGTTGCGACGTTGGTGTAAGTTTTGTTGTTGTTGTTGTTGTTATTGTTATTGTTGTTATTGTTGTCACTTGATACGTGAACTTGAATGGCCCGTCCTCAGTTGTTGTGAGGATCCCAGTATAATCTCCATTTTTCGGAGATTTGCTGGTTAAGCCATTATGGTTCCCTGGAGTCCTGAGGTCAGCTTGGCCAAAGTGTGCTCCAGATTTTCACCACCACAGGCAGTCGCAGCCATTGTGGATCAGAGGAACATTTGCCACCATGCAACTTCGATACCACGATGGTGGTGGATTATGGTGTTGGTTTACTATTAGCTAGGTTTCCTGATGGAAATGCCAGACTCCTTCTCAGCTTGGGAGGCCCTGCCAAGGTATGAATGCCCTTCTGTACATCGCAGTCCGACACCCAGGAACACCTCCCAGCTACGATGGCACGGTAAACCGTTAGGAGGGCTTTTGTTGTTTGTGTTGTTGCTGTTATTATTATTATTATTATTATTATTATTATTATTATTATGATTATTATTATTATTATTATTATTATTATTATTATTATTATTATTATTATTATTATTATTATTATCTTAACTCTTTTATTTACTGCCTTTTTCTTAATGGCAGGGTATGTTGCGAAATATAACTCGTATGAAATGCTGAGATATTTGCAAAACTCCGGACCACAGGTGTATGCAGTGGAGAACGAACAGCGCGTGTTCCATACACCATACACCTGTGGTCCGGAGTTTTGCAAATATCTCAGCATTTCATACGAATTATTATTATTATTATTGTTGTTGCTCAATGGCTGACGTTTCGGCGATTTCGCTTTTCTCAGACCCGTACTGCTATGAGTGGGACTCAGTCAATACTCCCAACAACAACAACGACAACTTATAGCAACCTCGCATCAGCTCAGCAAGATCAGTTAGTTTATGGGAGCATATGAATAAATAGGTTAATAGTTTAGCTTAATTCTTCCTTGCAAGAACTCTTCTCAGCTTGGAAACCTTTACAATTTACGATACAAATCTGATTGAATCGCAGTAGAAATTGATTACTTTTCTGAAGAAATCGATCTACACCAACCCATTCAGCTACGCAAAGTTCAGAAAATAATGCATAATGCATAGTAATGTAATTTGACCTTGTCATTCGCTGCTCACTGAGCGTCAGATGCTGAATCGTTTGTTCCACTGTGATCTACGATAGTTCCTTATATCGCAAGCAGTTCTTAACAAAGCTCAGTGCCAGCTCTACTTATCAGGTTCAGTTCTCGCTGCCTTTTTGGAGCAATATTCCAAATTGCTCTCTTCATAGTCAATAGTGCTTCGTTTAAAAGCTCTGTAGGTCACTGACACGGATAGGATTTGACGTTGCTGGATTTGAGCTTATTGCTCACGATCTAACTCTCTTGTGGCCATTCTAACAGTGGATAGTTTGGGTAGTACACGTTTCTACACAGTGATGCGACATCCACTGTTGTACTTCCACACTTACAAACGTCGGCATTGGCTTTTGGAACTGTTGTACATCGGAATATTCGGTCTCAGTTTCTCCTATCTCACATATTATTGTCGTATTCTATTTTTAAACAGTGTATTGAATGTCATAAAATAGTGCTGTTTCTATGAAATCATATTTTCTCGAAAGCTATTAAAGTCAACTTTTTGATTTACTGCCTATTACTAATTTTCACTGCGGGATAATGTTTGTGATACAACCAGAATAGTGCTGAGATATCTGCAAATCTACTGACCGCAAGTGTCTATGGTGGGGAAGAACACGCTATTACACTTTCCTGGAGCTAAGGCGTTCACCACTAAACCATGCAGGTTCTTCGTTTTGCATCTCACTCAGCTAGTTTTCTATTGATCGCTGCCATCAGCAATCAGCCGTCAACGGGACTGATCTGGGAAGCCCAATGCGGTGGGGGACGAACCCAATTAATCAGAGGTTGTACTGGAAATCACAATGTTAACTTTTTGATTTATTGCCTATTACTATTTTTCAAGGCAGGGTAATGTATGTGGTACAGCCACAATGATGCTGAGATGTTTGCAAGCTATTTAAGTTATTACGCAAAGCGGAGTTTTTAGCCGTATGCTCCGGAGTTTCCACCTTTGAAAAAGGCGCCTGCGCGGTCAAAAGTGCTCATTATTTTTAGTATTTGGCTCGCTAAGCACTAACTTTTTAAGCAATTTTTTGTTTGGTAATTGTTTTCTAAAATGTAGATTGGGCGTTGCGAGTAAATGAGGTTAGCTATGGATATTTGAGGTGCAGCGGCCTATTTTCGGCGCACGTAGAGAAGTTTTTACATTGTCGACTTCTCTTTCTAGATTGTACTCGAGCGCTCGGTCGACTGACCGCAGGATTCATCCCCGTGCTAGAAGACTTCTTGTCGAAAAGCAACAAATCGCTCTCTTATCCCGAAGCGACCGGTTCCTCTTACCTGGTCGCTGTTGCTGCAATAATCTTAGCCATCCAGGAAATAATCACGCGCTGAAATTTGTAGTAGTCCCAGAGGACGAAAGCTTCACACTGATTCACAAATTCCTGCAACTACTTGTAAGAATTTAGAAAAAATTGCTAAGGTTATCCCAAGATTCTAGAAAAAAATAGCGTTTGGTTAGCATCCTGCATTTCAATAAGTAAAGAAGATAGCAGATCCTCAAGTTGTAATCAAACTGATACCCGAATTTGACTAACTTGATGGATGACGGTTATGAGAGGAAATGGAAGAAGTGATGGGGAATGCACGTTTTATGAGGACGGATCATCTAAGTATGTAAAAGCTGGGAAGATTTTCAATAACATGGTGCTCATCTAATGATTTTCTAGAAAACTTGTTCCATATCGTTGTCGCTAGCTGAAAATTAGCCACAAGAGCAGCAACTGAGAAACCCAAGTTGCCGAATTTAGCTGAGCCTAATGACTTGCTTATGGTACACTCAGAAAGGTAGGGTTGCGGATAATCGAATGAGAAATCGATAGGCTTTCAAAGAATCCTGGAAATCTTCCAGTTGTTTCTTCAAGTAAACTAAGAAATCACATGTTTGAAAA